TCAACGAGGGCCTTTAGGGTCAGTCTTTCATAGAAAGCTAAGCAGGGAACTTAAATCCTTTAACGCCTCTACTGGTAACACCTTCCATGGCTTACTGCCTTCTTGGGGTCTGGTTATTCTTTGTGGTCACAGGTTATTATCATAAAGACACACCCCCCACGACCCAGACCTCATGCCTAGGGCAGGGTGGTCCACTTTGTCCCTTATCTCTGGTTTCCCCACACCTCTACATTTTGGGATTTCTGGGAGCCTCATCACATGGTCCCGTGTCTATCTCTCCCTACCTAGCCCCACCTGTCCCTTCCTCCTTCTTCCCGCTGGAGTAGTAATGGGGCGTTAGGGAATGCGGCGACGCAGAGGGTTCTGTCCAGGGGCCTGTGGTATGGCTCCAGGGGGTCATTCATGATGGGAAGCAAATGGTACATGCATCTCAGCTGTCTGCTTTTAAAAATAGTTGAGGGGAGGGGCGTCTGGGTGGCTCGGTAAGTTAAGCCTCTGCCTTCGGCTCAGGTCATGATCTCAGGGTCCTGGGATCGAGCCCCACATTGGGCTCTCGCTCGGCGGGGAGCCTGCTTTCCCCGCTTTCTCTGCCTGCCTCTCTGCCTACTTGTGATCTCTCTCTCTGTCAAATAAATAAATAAAATCTTAAAAAAAAAATAGTTGAGGGGTTTCTGGGTGGCTCAGTCAGTTAAGCCTCTGCCTTCAGCTCAGGTCATGATCCCACGGTCCTGGAATCAAGCACTGTGTCGGGCTCCCTGCTCAGCAGGAACCCTGCTTCTCCCTCTCCCTCAGCCTGCTGCTCCCCCTGCTTGTGCTCTCTCTCTCTCTCTCTCTGTCAAACAAATAAATAAAATCTTCCAAAAATTTTAATAAAAATAGTTGAATGGATGAAACCAATAAAATACATAGTATATGAATTGCCTTTGCTGCGGATATAGAAAATTACACTGTTTGGCAAGTCCTGTGGATCTTATGGATTCTTCTGGCTCAGTGTCCTCCCTTAGCCTGAAAGTTCAGCAAAGTTCAACGGTGAGACGATGCCTGGTGATCACAACAAGGGGAACCAAGTGCAAGGAGGGACGTTTTATACCCATCAGGATGGCAGAAATTTAAGTCTAACAGGACCACATTTTGGCCGGAGTCTGACAAGTGGGTACTTGACTCTCGTGCACCCGGGGTGGGAGTGTGAACCGGTACAGTCCCTGCAGAGAGCAGTCTGGTGTGTCTGATGAAGAACTTCCCCTTCGGCACCTGGGGGGCCTCAGTCGGTTAAGTGTCCAACCAGTTTTGGCTCAGGTCATGATCTCAGGGTCGTGGGATTGAGCCCCGTATAGGGCTCCACGCTGGGGCATGGAGCCTGCTTAAAACGATTCTGAGAGTCTCTCCTCCTCCACCTCCTCCCAGTCTAGGGGCACTCATGCGCTCTCTTGCCCACGCACTCTGTCTAAAATAAAAAAAAGGGAGAAACGTACAAGAATGTTCTTTGCAAGACTGTAGTATGGAAAATTTGAACATAGCCTAAGCAGCCGATAACAGGAGACTGTCCTGGTAAATGTAGTTAAAAGGAAATACAGGGGTGGGGGATAGAGGGACAAGCTAAACAACACTTTGAGGAAGAGGCCCAACAAATCCAGAACATTCTGCAGGATATTTGGCCTGGCCTCTTCCACAAATCAGTGCCATTAAAACAAAACAGCTCTAGGTTAAAAGAGACCTAAAGGATAAGTCTTAGCCTATTGGCCTGCTGGCACCATGGGACATAGCGACCGGGCAGGGGTAGGGCCCAGGTGAGGAAAGTATTTTGACCTGGATGGTAGCAGCAGAAATGTTCCAGCATTCCCGCTGGGGCTCCAGATCCTCAGGGGGCCTTCTATTTCCTTCATTACTCTCTTTATTTCCTTAGTTCTTTCTTTCTGGTTCGACGTATTCCTTCTTTTACTTTTTCTCATTTTCTATTATGTGACTTTCAAAGGTACAAAGTAGATAGAAGAATATGGAACCTCATGTGCCTCTCATTGTCCAGCCAACTGGTCATGGCCATGAGCCCTCCCCCATTTAATCTGTATTTCATATTTTTCTTTCTTTCTTTTTTTTTTTTTTAGAGAGAAAATGTGTGCCAGCAGGGAGGGTGGGGCAGAGGGAGAGAAAGAATCTTTTTTTTTTTCTTTAAGATTTTATCTATTTATTTGACAGAGAGAGAGAGAGAGTGAGAGATCACAAGCAGGGGGAGTGGCAGAGGGAGATGGAGAAGCAGGCTCTCAGCTGAGCAGGGATCCCGATTCAGGGCTTCATCCCAGGACCCTGAGATCATGACTTGAGCTGAAAGGAGAGGCTTAACCAACTGAACCACCTGGGCTCACGGGAATCTTTTTTTTTTTTTTTTTTTTTTTTAAGATTTATCTATTTATGAAGTGCCTGGGTGGGTAAGTCATGACTCTGAGATCATGACTTGAGCTGAAATCAAGAGTTGGATGCTTAACTGAGCCACTTAGGTGTCTTTAATCTTTCTTTAACATACCTTTGTAACTCACACATAATCAAGGTACTTGGTACTACAATTAAATGCAAAATTAAAAACAAGGCCAGATACTCACTCCCACCACTTCTGTTCAACACTGTACTGGAGATTTGAGCCAGAGTACTTGGTCAGGATAAATAAATAAAAGGCATCCTGATTGGACAGGAAGGAGTACAAATTAACTCTATTTGCAGATGGCATAATCTTGTATTAGAAAACACTAACGAGAATAGACGCACACACACACCCTTATTAGAAGAACCAGTTCAGCAAGATTTTAGGATACAACATCAATATACAAAAATCTATTGTACTTTTTAAGAGATTTTATTTATTTACTTGAGAGAGAGAGAGAAAGAGTAGGGTGAGGGGTGGCAGGGAGAGAAAGAAGCAGGCTCCTCGCTGAGCAGGGAGCCTGACGTGTGGCTCAATCCCAGGACTGTGGGACTATAACCTCAGCTGAAGGCAGGTGCTTAAGTAACTGAGCCACCCAGTCACCCCAAAATTCTATTGTATTTTTTTTTTAAGATTTTATTTATTTATTTATTTGACAGAGAGATCACAAGCAGGCAGAGAGGCAGGCAGAGAGGCAGGCAGAGAGAGAGGAGGAAGCAGGCTCCCCGCTGAGCAGAGAGCCCGATGCGGGGCTCGATCCCAGGACTCCTAGATCACGACCTGAGCCGAAGGCAGCGGCTCAACCCACTGAGCCACCCAGGCGCCCCTCTATTGTATTTCTATACACTAACAATGAACAATCCAAAAATAAAATTAGGACACAGCTCTACTTACAATAGCATCAAAAATAAGAAAACACTTAGCAATAAATTTAAGAGACGTAAGACTTGCACATTGAGAACTTAAGATTGTTGAAAGAAATTAAAGACCTAATAAATGAAAAGACATCCTATGTTCATGGATTGGAAGACTCAGTATTGTGTGTATGCGTTTTATTGAAGTGTAGTGGACACACAATGTTACATTAGTTTCAGCTGTACCACATAGTGATTTGATGATTCTACACTTCACACTGTGCTCACCATAAGCATAGCTCCCATCTGTCACCCTGCAACGCTATTACAATACCACTATGTTCCCTATGCGGTACTTTTTGTCCCCTTGACTTATTCATTCCATAATAGGGAGCCTATATCTCCCACTCTCTTCCACCTGTTTTGCCCATCCCCCCACCTCTTTTCTCTGGCAAACATCAGTTTTTTTTCTGTATTTATGGATCTATTTTTTTTTCTTTTTAAAAAGATTTTATTTATTTATTTGACAGAGAGAGATCACAAGTAGGCAGAGAGCCAGGCAGAGAGAGAGGAGGAAGCAGGCTTCCCACTGAGTAGAGAGCCCGATGTAGGGCTTGATCCCAGGACCCTGAGATCATGACCTGAGCTGAAGGCAGAGGGTTAACCCACTGAGCCACCCAAGCACCCCTTTATGGATCTATTTGTTTTTTGTTTTCATTTGTTTTCTTTCTTTTAGATTCCACATATAAGTGAAGTCATATGGTAGTTGTGTTTTTCTGTCTGACTTATTTCACTTAACATACTGCCATCTGGGTCCATCTATATTGTCATAAATGGCCAGATCTCATTCATTTTTATGGCCAAGTAATAATTATTGTGTATGTGCATGTGTATATATATATACACACACATATATATGTGTATGTGTGTATATACACACATACACAATGGAGTAATATATATATATGTGTATATATATATATTTATATATACACATACACATCTTTATTTTTTAAAGATTTTATTTGAGAGAGAGCAGGCACTGGGAGAGGGTAGCGGGAGAAGCAGACTCTCCACTGAGCATGGAGCCCCACGTGGGACTCAACTCAATGTCAGGACCCTGGGATCATGACTTGAGCTGAAGGCAGATGTTTAAGGGACTGAGCCACCCAGGTGTCCCTCAAAATATATTTTTGAGCAGTTACTTTGTTGGGCATGGTGGGGGGTGAGTTGGGGGGGAGGGGCCTTGGGTTCCGAACCCCTAGGCTCATCCACGAGTCTTGTGAGCCGGTAGAAATCCACAGGAAACTTCGGCACAGGCTGATCTGGCCTGCTATGGGAATGCAGAGTACATCCAGGAAGGTTTCCTGGAGGAGGTTCCAAACTCAGCTCCAAAGCTTAAGCCAGGGGTGGGGCGCGGGGTGAAGAGAGAATTTCCCCCAGAGAAGTCCCAGCTGTGGGTGGTTGAGAGGCGAGGGGCTTGGTTTCATCCCGAATCTGGAAGGAGAGGTGGGAGTGGCTGCAGCCCGTGGGGCGGTTGCCCGTCTCAGTCTCAGGTACAGCCGGAGGGGGTCACCGGGTGGGCGCGTTAAAAGGTTCGGACGTCATCCCGGGGTACAGGGGAGTCACTCAAGGTTTTGTGACAAAATCATGTGCTTAGACGGGTGTCCCTGGCTGCGAGCGCAGCGCGGGAGGGCGGATCCGAGCCTCGGGGGCGCAGGGGCGCAGGCGCCGGGGGGGCGTGGGTGAGGCGGGAGGGGCGGCTCGCGGGTCACCGCGGAGATGGCCGTGACGTCACACAGGTCCGGCCCGCAGACCCCCTTCGGGGCTCGGCGACGATCACTCCGGGGACAAAATGGACATGCTATTCAGAAGGTGAGTCTGCAGCAGCCGGCGGTGCCCTGCGCGCCCGACCTCGGCTGCGCCCGAGAAGCGTCACGCCGGCCCACCCGCCCGAGCCCCTTCCCGGTGTCCCCGACTTGAGTGACAGCACGCCCTATCCGGAGTCGCCCTGAGGAGCCAGTTCCTTCCTACTTCGGGGGTCGCTTTCCCGGCCCAGCCCCAGTCCCGGTCCCGGGCAGGTGGGCGCAGGTGCATCGGGCAGGTGCGCGCGGCCATCCAAGCTGCGGCCACCCGCGGCCCCTCTCCCCGCAGCACCTGGCCCGGCCTGGCGCCGCCGAAGCCGCAGGGCAGGGGTAGGACGCGGCTGGACTTCCTCCGGCGGAAAGGGGCCGGCAACGGGGGCTAGATCCTGCGTGGGGGTCCTTGCCCCGTGGAAGTGAGGCAGGTCTTCCTCGTCGGGCTGGGGTGGTGTCCCACTCCCTGGGTCTGGACCCCTTACCTTGGAGACCCCCCTTTTCTTTCCGTTATGGAGGAACATCCCATCTTTCCGGAGTCAGACCTGCAGGGCAGTGAGTCCCTGATGTGAGGGGAGGACTGAAGGGGGGGCTCCCCCGTTTCCCCCAGGCGTGAAGCGCAAGCGCCTAAGAAGGGGCGGCCCCGGCCTTCCTCCCGTGAGCTGGGATGGGGTCGTGGGCAGGTGGGACTGTGCCAACTCTGCCCAGGGTCCAGTCCAGGGTCTGGGTGGGAGCCTGTTCCTGCGCTGACCCCCTACTTTGCCCTCAGGCAGTAAACATCTTTGCTTGAGAATTGTGGACACCTCCCCCCCACCCAAACCCACGGGAAAATTCTAGGACACCTGGGGTCCTGTCTGCAAAGCTACACAATATTTCTCCAAAATATTATTTTAACCTGTCATTTCCTCTAGAGCAAACTGATTTAAAATAAGAAATAAATCCCAGTGGTCCTGTGCTCTGACTTCTCTGAGAATTCCTTCTGTCTGAATGGCTGTTCTTATTCTGGTTGTAGAACTTTGTGATCTGATGGATTCTGATGCAAGCCCAGGGGCTTTGGAAAGGCTGACTCACGGATCCAAGGTAAGATGAGAACTGGCTTCATCTAAATTGTTTTCCTTTTAGAGCTTGGTCAACATTGTCTACAACGAGAGTCCTTGAGTTTTAAGTAATCTCTTTGCCCAACGTGGGGTTCAGACTCACGACCCCGGACATCAAGAGTTGCATTCTTTACTGACTGGGCCAGCCGGGTGTCCCTGGATTTGTAAGTTATGACCTTCTTTCCAGGTGGCATAAGGGACAAGAGATTGCAAAATGAAAAAAACCACTGTCTTTCCTTTTTATTGTATCTCAGAATAATGGCACCAAAAAAGTAGTCAAAATAATATCAAGTATGGTATGAAGGTGTCCACCTTAACAATTAACACTGGTGGGGGCGCCTGGGTGGCTCAGTGGGTTAAGCGTAGGTCCTGATGTTGGATGGACCCTGTCCTCTGTGTGGCTTCACACTCAGCGGGGAGCCTGCTCACGATTCTTCCTCTCTCCCTCTCTCCCTCTGCTTCCCTTGCTCACGCACTCTTTCTCTAAAATAAATTGGTTAAAAAAAAAAAAAAGAAAGAAAGAGAAACACCTCTGGTTTGTACATTGAAGGACAGACCCTCTTCCCCCCGCAGCGTGCCAAGAGCCTCATCAGGTGAAGGTGGGGCCCGTGTGTTTGGAGCCATGCGCTGTTCTGGGTGTGGGTAGGAAATCGGGATAATGTTCACTCTCTGACTTCACTTTAGGCTATTACATGTTTAAGGACATTTTCTGGGCACCGACTCAGGCCCAGGGACTCGGGAATGACTTGAAGTTGTCCCTAAAAGGAATGCATCTAAAGGACCCAAAGTGTGTGCGTGTTAGGGCGGTCGTGGTTCAACCCTGACCCTCCAAGGTTTCCTGCTCTCTCGGGCTCCTGGGCCAGGAAAGGAGCTCAGAAATGTGGAGTCTGGACCAGATCTTAGTTTCTTTCAAGTGGGTAGAAAAATAAAGGTAAAAGCATCCTGTGAGGGGCGTCTGGGGGGGTCAGTCACTAAGTGTCTGTCTGCCTTCAGCTCAGGTCACGATCTCAGGGTCCTGGGATCAAGCCCTGCATCGGGCTCCCTGCTCAGCGGGAATCCTGCTTCTCCCTCTCCCATTCCCGCTGCTTGTGTTCCCAGTCTTGCTGTCTCTCTCTCTCTCTGTGTCAAATAAATTTAAAGAAAAATAAAAAATAAAAAGGCACCCTGTGAGATGCCAGCCCACATTGCCATGGTCTACCTCCCCTCAAATAAAGCCAATCCTCTTAAAATCCGCTTTTGGGGACGAGCAGTTTGAGAACTCTTTCAGAACAAATTTTATTGCAAGGAGAGGGGTCTGTTCTTGAACTAGAACAGTCAAGGTTGATGAATATTAAAGAACCTTTTTAATATCTTTTTTGGGGAACTTTATTTAAGGATTTTATTTGAGAGAGCACACACAGAAGAGCAGTGGGGAGGGGCAGAGGGAGAGAGAGAAGCAGACATCCCGCTGAGCAGGGAGCCTGACATGGGGCTCCATCCCAGGACCCTTGGATCATGACCTGGGCTGAAGGCAGATGCTTAACGACTGGGCCAACCAGGCGCCCATGAGAGAACTTTTTATTTATTTATTTTTATTTATTTATTTTTAAAGATTTTATTTATTTATTTGACAGAGAGAGATCACAAGTAGACAGAGAGGCAGGCAGAGAGAGGGTTGGGGGAGAAGCAGGCTCCCTGCCGAGCAGAGAGCCCGATACGGGACTCGATCCCATGACCCTGAGATCATGACCTGAGCCGAAGGCAGCGGCTTAACCCACTGAGCAACCCAGGCGCCAGAGAGAATTTAAACACGTGTTTCCTTTAAAGCAGAAGTGCAAAATTGACTTAAGTACCAAGGTCAGTTTAGTGGTTGACTTAGGGCAAACCTGTTCTGAATTCTGACCTCTGGGTTGGGGGCGGGGGTGGGGGCCGGTGAGGCTAGTCGCAGTATTTTTTTTTTTTTTCCTAGATCTTGAACACAGACTTGCTAAGATCCTCTGTTAAAAGATCACTGCTGGCGCTCCTGGGTGGCTCAGTGGGTTAAGCCTCTGCCTTTGGCTCAGGTCATGATCTCAGGGTCCTGGGATCGAGCCCCGCATCGGGCTCTCTGCTCAGCAGGGAGCCTGCTTCTCTTCCTCTCTCTGCCTGCCTCCCTGCCTACTTGTGATCTCTGTCAAATAAATAAATAAAATCTTAAAAAAAAAAATCACTGTGCTTGTGCTCTGTTCCTTCCTCCCTGCAGAACAGCGTCTCCCCTGACGGCCCCGTCTTGGAAGCTTTCTGGACTTCACCACCACCTTCCGTTTGCAGCCCCCCACTCCTGGTTGCCCCCGGATTCCAGGTAGGAGCCTTCAGCTGGGGAGCTGACTTGTCGCCCAGCCCCTCCCAGGGCCACTCCTCCTGGGCGTGGTTCCAGGGCTGGAAGGACTGGGGACTGGGGCGGGTCCCAGGGAGCTGGAAACTAAGGTGAGGGCTTGGACGGCTCCTTGTCCCGCCTCCCCGAGAGGAGAGGAGGTCACCCAGGTCTCTGGGGCTCTGGACTGCTGGGGAAGGAACTGGCCCGTCATCCTTTCCTCTTCCTCCCTTGCTGGCACGCATTTCAGTTCATGATAAAAAAAATTTTCTGTTTATTCAGCATTTCCTTAAGGTGCCCAAACATTCTGTTTACAAAGGGAAAATGTTAGCGCTTTGTTAGGGAAGTTGGTCAGATGTTCAGCTTGTAACAAACGTCAGATTGCCTCATGGGCCCTTGCCCTCTGGCAGAGTGTGCAAGGAATCTGGTTTTTGGCAGAATGCATGATGTGCTAGAGGCTGTGAACGCAGGGGTGCATCTTGGGGTGCGGGGTCTGTGGGATATGCATGGATGTGTGCACCCCGGAAATATCTGCTAAGCATCAGCTTCATGCTCAGTGCTGGGCCGGGCTTTGGGGACACAGAGACACAGCTGTGGACAGAGAAGCCAAAAGCCCAGGCGATGGAGTGAGTCTGTCAAAAGGGGCTGCAGAGTCCAGAGATAGAGCAGGAGGACCCGGGGGGCGGGGGTAGGGGGAGATGCAGCGGGTGAGGTACTGTGCACCTGCGTGAGAAAGGGCGGTACGGGGGCACCTGGGGTGCGGAGGGTTAGAGGGGCACCTCAGTCATTAAGCATCTGCCTTCAGCGCAGGTCATGATCCCGGGGTCCTGGGATGGAGCCCCGCATCAGGCTCTCTGCTCAGCAGGAAGCCTGCTTCTCCCTCTCCCTCTTCCCCTGCTAGTGTTCCCCCTCTCGCTGTGTCTCTCTGTCAAATAAGTAAAAATTTTAAAAAATCTTTAAAAAAGGGGGGACGTGGTATGAGCAAGGAGGGTGGCCTTAGTGTAATGACAGGCTCGAAGTGAGGACCGGGCCTGCCATGCTGGGCAAGGGAGGCTCAGTCCTTGAGGTAGGGCTGCCAGCTCTGGAGGGGTGGGGCAGAGGTGGAAGGAGAGTGGGGACAGGGAGGCGGGGAGGCAGGGAGGCAGGGGTGCAGTGTGGTTCCAGCTGAATTCTAACCACCCTGCTCTGGGTGGAGCAAGTGGGGAGAAGTGGGGGAGGGTTCAGGACTCCCCGGGGAGTAGAGTCAACAGTGGCGGATCAGCCAGGAGTCGGGGTGATGTGAAGATTGTTTTTGGCTTGAGCCACAAGACTGGTGGAGCAGCCCTGCCTGGGGCCCGGAGGGCTGCAGGGGGCAGGTTTGGGGAAGATCGGTCTGACCTTGGGCAAGTCGAGTTGGAAGAACTGGTCTGAGACACCAGGGGCAGCTGGGCAGTGGGGCGCAGGGGTGTGGAGCTGGGAGCTGGAAACCAAGGTCACCAGCGGCTGGCGGTGTCTCGGGGCCAAGTGATGTGCGTGCAGGGCACGTGCGTGTGTGTGCGTGCACGTGGGTGTGAGGGTGGAGCTGGCGGATGCTGGCTGGGCAGTGCGGAGGGTTAGAGTGGAGCGGACAGGACCCCCTTTGAAGGAGCGATCTGGTGGGGACTTCTGAGCTCTTCCGTGGGAAATTTCAAACCTGCAGCTTAAGGGGCTGGGCTAATTTCCCAGCTTTGAGGCAGGAAGGCCTTTTTGGACCAAGCCCACCGCCCTCCCCTGGAATCCTGGGCTTCTGTCCTGCAGCCCGGGAGTGGGGGCGAGCAGCTGCCGCCCAAGCTGGTGGGGGGCGACGGTGGGGTTCCAGGCCTTTCATCCCAGGTGCAAACAGTTCACGAGCCGGATCCCTGCCTCTCCAGCTGTAAATGTCTGGGGACCAGTGAGTAGGAAGAAGCCTGTGTGTGGGTGCGCCGGGGCGTAAATGTGATTTTGTTTAATAGTTGTTTTCTAACCACACGCATCAAATACCTTTTTATTAAAAAGTAAGAGGGGTGCCTGGGTGGCTCAGTTAAGTGCTGGACTCTTGACTTTGGCTCAGGTCATGCATGATCTTAGGGTCGTGGGATCCTGGGCTCCGTGGGGAGTCTGCTTCTCTCTCTCGCTCCCCACCCCCACTCTCTCTCTCTCAAATACATCTTTTAAAAAAAAAAAGTGTTTAAGAAACCTGTAGGGGCATGTGGGTGGCTCAGTGGGTTAAGCGTCTGCCTTCAGCTCAGGTCATGATCCCTGGGTTCTGGGATGGAGGCCCACCTCTGGCTCCTTGCTCAGCAGGGAGCCTGCTTCTCCCTCTCCCTCTGCCCCTTCCCCTGCTTGTGTGCTCCAGTGTCATGCTCTCTCTCTCTGTCAAATAACTAGCTTTAAAGAAAAGAAAAGACACTTTTAACCTGGTGCCAACCAGCTGCTCTAGAAAATCTGGGGTTGGCCCTCATCCCGACCATGACCCTGGCCCCTAAGTCCAGCAGGGAAGTGAGGAGAATATGGGGCTCAGATTCCTCTCCTTGTTGTAATTTCACTTTTTGGGGACTTTTATCTGAACTTGGCCTAGAGAGAGTACTAACAACCTCACGGGATGTATTCCTTGGGAGATCAAAACTAAGTTGGTTTGGATGTGTCACAGGGACGAAGGAGTCGGCCGAACAAGTTCCAGGTGAAAGTGGAGCAAAGTAATGTATTTATTTATTAATATCTTATTTTTTTAAACTAGTCTCTACACCCAGCGTGGGGCTTGAACTCACAGCCCCGAGATGGAGAGTCTCACGCCAGCCAGAAGCCCCCCCAGTCCCGTAGTATTTATTATAACTCAAGTATGACATGGCTGTGAGCCCACCTGTCACGAGCAAATGACTGGCTTCATCAGCGAGCAGGGAGACAATGCCCCCTGCTGAGGGTTTCCGAGCACCCCAGTCCGGCAGCAGAGCAAACCCCTGTCCTTGACAGTGGGCCGCCTTGCGAGACGACTTCCCGAGGAGGAGCGGGGTGGCCTGGCGGGGAGAAGGTCACCTGTGAACTTGCAGGTGATCCCCTCAAGATGGGAAGGGCACTGCCCTGTGTGGGCGTGCTCCCCAAATCTACCACCCTCCTGTGCTCCTAAGAAAACCGTCAGACCAATCCCCTTGGGCCTTGGGACTGTCAAGGTCATCGAAAGTTGGGAAAGCCTGGGGGTGAGGGGCTGGCTGGACTAATTTATTTTGTCCCCCCCACCCCCCAACCCCCGCAGGGAGCCTTCCCAGCCTTTAAAATGCTAATGTATATTGTGCTTTGGGGTCTCGTTTATAGCCTTTCCTGTTTCTTGGCCCTTTGCCTGGAGCTGGTGTTCCGTGGAGCCCAGTTTGGGAAAGCGGGGATGGCGCATGGCAGGGAGGTGGGCAGTGTTTGTGACCGACGCTTCCCTCCAGGGCCTGGAACGTGCCTTCCCATGAGGATTCCTGAGGGAAGCAAGTGACATGAAAATCCTCCGACTTCGTTTCATGGTCTCACGCTCTGGGTAAGTTTTTGTTTTGCTTTTTAAGAGTGGCTGGTCTCTCTCTCTCTCCTTTGGGTGCATATTTTCTTTTTTTTAAAGATTTTATTTATTTATTTGACAGAGAGAGATCACAGGTAGGCAGAGAGGCAGGCAGAGAGAGAGAGAGAGGGGGAAGCAGGCTCCCTGCTGAGCAGAGAGCCCGATGCTGGGCTCGATTCCAGGACCCTGAGATTATGACCTGAGCCGAAGGCAGAGGCCCAACCCAATGAGCCACCCAGGCGCCCCTGTTTTTTTTTTTTTTTCTTTTTAATTGTTTTTAACAACCTCACACTTCTGGGTTGGTGGGGGAAAGGTTTCTGTCCGCTTGGGTGAGCGAGTCGGTCCCCAACCTGGGTTCGCATGCTTTATCTGTTAAAGGGAGAGGACATTTGAGCTGGGTGGGTGGGTTCCGGTCTGGAATTTTCAGCGTCAATGAGTCTGACCTTTCCACTGAGCTCGGGTGGGATGGAGCTTCTGGGGGCACAGGGCTTTCCCCACGCAGACGGAATGCTCACGGGCTAGACGTCCCCACCACCAGCTGGCCCCAGAGGGGTAACCACAAAATTTTTTGAAGACCCCCCCCTAGATTTGTCTGGCAAGGCGGAACCCAGTACCGTTCACCCCTGGGGCAGGTAGATCAGACTTGGACGAGCTGCCAGACCGGCTCCCGGGGACGCCCTCCTGCTGGGCACCTGCCCTTGGGGCGGCTGCCCCTCCCCCACCCCGGCCACCAGGGACCTGGGCTTTGTCCTCGTGAGGACAAGTAATGTCAAGTGAGATGTTTTCCAGTGCAGTGAAAGGCCCATCGTAGCTGGCCCCCAAGCCATGGCCGGCCTGAGGCACGGCCGCCCCACCTGCATCAGGGCGGCCTTCAGCTCCGCCAGCACCAGGGCCGGCTTCCGCAAGAGGCACAGAAACACACTCCATCGCTTCAAGGTACTCTCACCGCCCTTGCCCTCCTGGGGGTGCAGGGGGCAGGGCGGGTGGGGCGACCTGCGATCCCCGGACCAGGTGTCCTGGCTCCTCTTCTCGGTGGTTCCTGGTAAAATCATTATGGGTCTTTCTTCCATGCTCGAATGTCGATGGGTTCAAACTCCTGCGTTTTGATCAAGAAAAAACAAAAGCCTTTTCCCCCAGAAGCCTGGGAGCCTTGGGGAGGGTTTTAGAACATCTGCTACCAGCCCCGGGGTTCTTCAGAGGGCCCTGAGCAAGGCCTGGCCGTTGTCTGGCCTCAGCTCCTATAAGGGAAGGAAGGAGTTAAGACAGATGATCTAGAATCTTCCATGACCTTCTAGGTTTGGGTTTAGAACGAGTGCAGGGTTTTCTGTTCCCAGTGAGATGGGGATCACATCCAGCTGCCTTCTCGCTGCATTCCTGGTCCTCCTTTTCCTATTCCCGGTGGCCCAGGTTCTCATTTTAGTCCCTTAAACCAGGAGATGCTTCTTGCCCACCCACCAAGGGCTGCCTTCCTCTGAGGGTCCGGTGTGGCGGGAACGGCTGCCGTCCCTCGGTCCCTGGCCCTAGAACACTACCTGCCGTCGGTCTGCCTGCCTCCTTAGAAAGGATTATTCAGCCTTTTTTTTTAATTTCTCCAGGCCAATCACAAAAAGAATCACATGGACTTAATTGAAGGTATCTGGAGAGAGGTACGTGACAGAATGAGCCAAGAGCCACTCTCCCCATTGAGAGGCTGGTGGAGCTGTCCCCCATGTCAAGTCCCCAGAACCAGCCACAGGTCAACCTTGCAAGCAGGCCTTTCCAAGGAGAGTGGTTTGGGGCCTGCTCGTGTGTGCTCTTTTGTGATGGGAAAGACTGGAGTTAACTGTGTTTTACAAGAGCCACCCAGGTGCCCCAGTTTATTATTATTTTTTAAAGAATCTATTTTATTGGGGCACCTGGGTGACTCAGTTAAGCCTCTGCCTTTGGCTCAGGTCATGATCCCAGGGTCCTGGGATTGAGCCCCGCATCGGTCTCCCTGCTCAGCAGGGAACCTGCTTCTTCCTCTCCCACTCCCCCTGCTTGTGTTCCCTCTTTCACTGTCTCTTTCTGTTAAATTAGATTTTTTAAAAAGATTTTATTTTTTAAAAAGATTTATTAATTTTTAGAGTGAGAGCATGTGCGTGCACATAAGCGGGTGTGGGGGTGAGGGAGAGGGAGGGGAGAACCTCAAGCAGACTCCCCACGGAGCACAGAGCTGGCACAAGGCTCGATCTCGAGACCTTGAGGTCATGATCTGAGCTGAAAACAAGAGTCAGATGCTCAACTAACTGAGCCTCCCAGATACCACCCCCAAAGATATTATTTTTAAGTCATCTCTATGCCCAGTGTGGGCCTTGAACTCCCAACCCCGAGATCAAGAGCCACAGGCACCCCAATGAGCCAGCCAGTCGCCCCTCAGCATCAGTTGCATCAAAATCAAAATCAGTGCGGCACATGAGTGGCTCAGTGGGTTAAGGCCGCTGCCTTTGGCTCAGGTCATGGTCTCAGGGTACTGGGATCGAGCCCCGAATCGGCCTCTCTGCTCATCTGGGAGCCTGCTTCCTCCTCTCTCTCTGCCTGCCTCTCTGCCTACTTGTGATTTCTGTCAAATAAATAAATAAAATCTTAAAAAAAAATTAAAATCAGTAATCCGGGTGTAGTTGACACGTGATCTCGTGGAGTTTAGAGATCCCAGGTAAGGGTCTAACCCTGGCCGTGTGGCCAGGGATCTCCTGCCCCGCTGGGCCTCTCAGTCTGCGAGGCCGGACTCTGTTGGTTTACGTGTGGGGTGAGCCCGTCACTGTCCCTCACATGCACCCTCTAGTCTGGGCCTCGAGGCTTCCTGGGGCTGGTGACTGCTCTGCCATGGGGTCCCATGATGCTGGCTCTGTGAAACCCAATTCTGCCCATTTCTGAATCTGAAATGATTACAGTTGTCTGCAGATTATGGTGTGAAACTATTTTTATTTTTACCTTTTTTGGGGGGGTGCATATGTGACCATGTCGCCTCGGCAGGTTTGTACTCCCCATGAGAGGTGACCCCCGGGCCGTTTCTGCCCGCGGTGACACAGGGAGTGAAACCCTTCCGACTGGCCGACCCAGCAGGGGCCTCGGGGTCCGTTGGTGTATCTGGGAGGAGGACTCAACCTGGCCTGGAGGTTCACGGGGTGCAGCTCCCCATAGTTAGCACAGGAAGAGACAGCAGTCGGTTGTGGGGACTCAGACGTCCCTGGAGAGAGACCTTTGCCGCCAGAGCTGCTCAGTCAAGAGCACAGATGCAGGGAGGGGAAAAGCTGGAGTAAGAGCTGGGAAATCGGGTCAAGGTCAGTGTCAAGGAGCCGTGGGACTTGAGGTCCAAAAAGCTCCAGGGGCCCCTCAGGTGGTCACAGAGGTGGGAGGCTGCCGAGGAAGATGGGCTGTGTCACCCGCGGCTGCCGCTCAGAAACGGGGCTTTGAAAACCATGAACTCTGCCCCTGAACGCGCCGTTCAGCCTCTGGCCAGCCCTGTGCATGGGGGTGGCGGGCGGTCAGGAACAGGGTGGGGTGAGCCAGGAACTGGATGTTGGGAGGAAGTGAGCTCAGACCCCAGGGATTGGCTGGGCGGTGTGGACCGGGCTGGCTGGGCTGGTGCGCAGTCCTGGGACAAGGGCTTTAAGAGATGGGACCCAGATTGGGCCCCCAGTGGTAGCGGACCCTCAAGCTTTTGGGATGTGAGGAAGTATTTGTCTAATGCATTTTTAAAAAAAAGATTTTATTTATTTATTTAACAGATCACAAGCAGGCAGATAGCCAGGCAGAGAGAGAGGAGGAAGCAGGCTCCCTGCTGAGCAGAGAGCCAGATTTGGGGCTTGATCCCAGGACCCTGAGATCATGACCTGAGCTGAAGGCAGAGGCTTAACCCACTGAGCCACCCAGACGGCCCTGTCTAATGCATTTTTTTTTTTATAAAAGATTTTATTTATTTATTTGACAGAGAGAGATCACAAGCAGGCAGAGAGGCAGGCAGAGAGAGAGGGAAGCAGGCTCCCCGCAGAGCAGAGAGTCCGATGTGGGGTTCGATCCCAGGACCCCGGGACCATGACCTGAGCCAAAGACAGAGGCTTAACCCACTGAGCCACCCAGGTGGCCCTGTCTAATGCATTTTTGAAAAAGATTTATTTATTTTTGAAGCAGGGACGTTAGGGTTAGGGAGGGTAGGGAAGAGAGAGTGAGACAAGCAGACTCTGCTCTGAGCACAGAGCCCTTTGCGGGGCTTGATCCCACAACCCTGAGATCAGGGCTGGAGCCGAAACCAACAGTGGCCCCCGTCTAAGGCATTTTTAATGATTCGTGAAGCAGATGCGTTGGCACAGTTTGCCAACATCAGTGCTGGAAGAAATCTGTGCGTGGGAGGGGCGTGTTGCACTTTCTCCTGGTAGAGATTGCCGTCTGGCTCAGAAATAGTTTTGTGCTCAGTTTTTAGATCCTTTCGATGGCGATTCAGAAGACCCCCCCGGTCACCCGGCCTCCAGCCACAGTGACTGTTCTCCGAGTGACGCGAACGGTACTGGGCCTTCCCACGCGCTCAGGTGCGGGAGTCCGGGAGAAGTTCGCTTAGAAGACCCTCTCTCGTCCAAAACCGCAGACCTCCCGCTGAGAGCGGCCAGCCGGGGCCCCTCGTCCCTTGAGGCCAACGACGTGGATATGCAGCCCGTGGAGGCCAGCAGTCCCGAGGCCCGAGGCCGGGCAGCCCGGTGCTCGGGGTCGCCGGAAGACTGGAGGATGACCGAGGACCCGTGGCCCAGGGCAGCTGGCCCCCTCCTCCCCGCCGCGGGCCCCCCGGAGCCCTGCCGCCCTGCGCAGAGCAGAACCAGAGCCGCCCGGCAGCCACCCAGAGGTGAGAAGGACAAGGGACCCAAGATCACCCTCTCCAAGAGGAAACTGGAACTTCTACTTGCAGAGCCTGAGAAAACTAAGAGAAAGAAGCAGTATGTGGCCTAGACCATGGTGAGCAGTTAGCTGAGGAAGGGGTCCTACAGCCCCGAGGGGGACCCGTGGGTCACAGCTGCCACCGATGCACTTGTTTCCGCGAAACACTTGCCCTGTGTAGGTCTGAAGTAAGGAACACCTGAGTGCCCACCAGCTGTGCTGGAAAATGGGTTTTTCCAGCCGAGGAAGGGTCCTGGGTCACGGGACGCCCCGCCCCTAAATTCAAGTTTCTTTCCTGTTACTATTCATGTTCCTATAGAACTAGTGATTTTTTTTTTAAACCTTGACTCCTGGTGCCCATTGTTGTCCCCCCTCCCTGAATGTTTGCTCTGGGTGGGGCTGCAATGGGCGGTGGGCAGGAGGGACAGGCTGGACTCCCGCATGCGCTGGCCCGTCCCCCACCGGCCCCTTGGGAAGCCACCCCGCTCCGTGTCCGTTTCTGCTCCTCCTCACTGTGCGTGTGAGGAGGGATGCTCTGAGCTGTGGGCTCTGGCTGTGGACACGATCCTGGACTTGACGCGCCAGTTAAAAATGAAGGGGTGGTGGCGGCTCTTTGACGCTTTCCCAGTTGCTGCGGGTTTGCTCACTGGGCCTTTTGCTCCCCAGCAGGCATGAACTGAGCACAAGTCTGGTGCCAGCGCCGGGTGGCCGCTGCCCACACGCCTAGGACCGCTGTCCCCAAGTGCCAATAAAAGGGAAGCGCACGTGAGGCCCAAAGCTACTCCTTCCCCCTGGCGGGCCGGCGGGGGCGGGCGCAGACGTTCTCTTCAGCCCCAGTCCGCAGGCTCTGCCCACTGGGGCTGAGGAAGACTGTGGCTCCTCCGACAGGATGGCCACAGGGTGGCCCCGGTGGCAGGGGTCCCTCGGGCCCCATGGGCTGAGCTTCGCGTGGGGGTGGGGCTCCAAGAGGCCCTGGAGGTGGGCGTTGAGTCCCGTGGGGCTTTGGGAGGCAGCAAGTGGGAGCCTCGGGCACACCTGAGGCTCGTGGAAGCCTTTGACGGGAGCTTCCAGCCCAAACCTAGGGTGGCCGGCCCCTCCCCTCGCTCCCCCCGCCCCGGCAAGGTGTCGGGGGTCTGGTCGCCGCAGCGGCTTCCGCTCACCCCCCGTTCAGGAACCTGCTCCGCATCCCCCCCAGGGTGGTGGTGCTCCTCCTGTGCCCAGGACCCTTACCTGGGCGCGGTGGGCACGGGAGGTAGGCGGGACAGATGCCCATGGTGGCCTTTCTGTGGGTTCTGCTTCCTCAGGCCTGGTCCCAGCTCTCACAGCCTACAGCCCCATTTAGGAGTCTTGCTGTAGAAAAGCTAAAAACCCTTCATGGTTCAGAGAAAAACACTTAGATTCCTGACAGAATAGTCCAAACTGGGTGGGGAGGCAGCGGACTCTGTCCCCAGGGCCTGGGGACAGCCAGAGCCTGGCAGCTCCAGAGAAGCGGTGGGGGTGGGAGGCAGTGGCTTAGGCACCCCCTCAGCCCCGGATCGTCACTTGGCTGGTGGGCGAGTGTGGGTCACGGGGCAGCAGCAGCAGAACAGGTTTTCGCCGCAGGGGTCTGTGCTAAGGCCCGGTGGCCACCCCAGGATCTGGGGGAAGGTAGGCCCCCCCGGGGGACGCAGGACGGGGGACCAGCCGGGTGAGGGCATCTGTGCCCTCACAGCCTGCTGCCAGGCTGTACCACGAGGGTAGGCGACAGGGTCCAGGCCCTTCCCGCATGGGCGCCCACGTTGCCAGGCCAGGCCCCAGGGTTCGTTTCTGTGGGGGAAGGGCTCCCAGGCCGAGCTTCGGCGCCGTGAGGAGACGGGGACAGAAGAGGCGGGAGGCCGGGTCGTGCTTAGTGTTTTATTCCCCGAACAAGCCAAGCTACAGCGCCGCCCCAGGCACCTAATGGAGTCCTGCCGGCGGCCCGCGCTCCGCTTCCTGTGACGGCGACGGTGCACCAAGGACTTTCCTCCGACACGTCCACTTCCTCCCAGCAGTTGAGCGATGAAGAGACATAAATAGTTACGACCACAGAAAGGGGGCGAGGGAGCCGAGCTTCACTCCGTGCAGAGGACGGCCACGCCGCGCTCGTAGAAGCTGCGTGGGTCCTCCTTGGTGGCGATCTCAAAGTCGACCGTGAAGATGAGGTCTGCCCGAGTGAAGTTCAGGTAGACAGGCAAGGTCACCTAGAGGGGAGGACGGGCGGAGTGCTGGCTCAGGCAGGCCCGCGGCAGCCCTGGCGGCTGGCGGCATGCGGGGAGGGGGTGGGGACACGGGGCACCTGCTGACCCCAGACGGCTGGAAGGGGCCACTCACCACGTTAGCCTTTCTCTCGGCATTGGTCTGCTTGACCCAGCGCAGCTGCGTCAGAGGGAGGACCGTGGAGATGGCGTGCGACAGCGACAGCTTGTTGTTACCGCACGTGGCTCCCTGAAGCTTCAGACCTGCGGGAGGCGGTCAGGCCCCGCCACCAGGGGTAACGGCTCTATGAGTCTCGGTGACGCAGCGCACGGCTCTGGCGTGCTCCCGACCGCCCCTCAGACACGTCGGACTGGGAGCAGCCCTGGAAGGCCACCAGCCGCTAGGACCACCTGTGAGCAGGCCCGGGTGCAGGGACGGGCTGCCCCAGGGAGAAGCCCAGAGTGGCTGAGGACCCCAACTCACCCGTGACCCCAAAGCTGCAGGCATCCAGGGTGGCACTCTGGGAGGTGGTGACGTTGACTTCCAGGCAGAGCTCCTCCAGGGACCAGCTGTTGGCCTGGGCCACGTACTGCCTGGTGGCGGTGATGTACGCCTCGGGCACAAACAGGCCGCCCAGACACACGTGGATGTTCTGTAGGAAGCAAGAGCCCCCGGTGAGCGGCAGCGCCCCGCCTTCCTTCGGGTCATGCTGGGGTCTGTGCCTGCCCCCTGGGCTCCCGAGGGCTCCTGCCCTGCCCAGGACAGCTCCCGCACCCCCACACCCCCAGTGGGGCAGCCTTCACCACCTTCAGCTCCTTAGCGCCCCCGGACGCAGCCGCCTGGGAGATGTTCTGTAGCTGCTTGATCCTCTCGCTGAAGTCCGACACCCACTGGATGACGGTCATGCCCGCGGGCACCGTGTAGTGCGACCAGCTCCGAGGCAGGATCCCTGTGTGCAAGGTGACCCCCGGCGGCGTCATTCGGACAGTCCCCAAGGCACACAGGGGTCACGCTGCTAGCAGTCAGCAGCTTCTCTGCTCCGCCCACCTCCCTCCCCTACCCACACCCCTGCATCTGCTTGTCCAGCCTGAGGGGGTTGTCTGGGGGGGCCACAATCACCCCCCAAAGACTGCCTTGACGGCTAACTGCCCTCACACAGGCCGCTGGGCTTCACCCCCCAGTTTAGGCTCTTGGGGTGGATGGGAGACCCCTGGGGGCTCCCTGTACCTTTAGACTCAAGCTCCCCTCTTTTCAATGTGCCGGCCACCCCCGTAAAAACCGTACAGATTTAATCAACGTTCAGGGAGCCAGCAAATAAGAAAAAAACCTCAGGCCATCGTGAGCCCAGCCCCCAGGGACACGGGCACAGGAGATGCGCCCGGGCGCCCGCGCAGGGAGGCCGCACCTTTCACCAGCTCGTTGATGAGGCTGCGCAGGTAGTTGGTCTGTTTTTTCTTCCCTTCGCACACTTGGACGACATCCGCGAGGTCCTGGCGGACGTCCTGCAGCAGCTTGGCGCCCATCTTCACTTCCCTCTCAAAGAACCTGAACAGGGGATCCTAGGATTGTCAAAGAGAGGAGAAGGCCTGGGTGAAGGGGAGAGTCTGGGACGAGCCCGTCCTCCCGCAGGACCTCAGAGCGCCGACCCAAGGCTCGAGGCTCCTCCGAGCTCGCTCCCGGACGAGACCTCAGACTGGATTTTGCACCAAGTGGGTGGGAACCTGGTCGTGCGCCCCGAAGAAGAGGGACGGTTCCTCCGCTGCTGCTTCCGGGACCCCCTCACCACGTCTGTGCACACAGAGCCCCGGCAAGAGATCAGCCCCCACGCCTGAGTCTGGGCGCAGCCGCCCACAGGCTCCGAGAGGAGCCCGAGCCCGCCCGCAGCGTGGACCCCCGGGGCGGCCCCACCCGCGCCTGGCCACCTTGATGTTCTCCACCGTCCGCTTGAGATGGCTCAGCGTCTGCGGGATGAGATGCAGCCAGTTGGAGGCAGTGGTGTGCAGGGTCCGCATCCAGGCCGGGCGCCCGTCGGACGTGGAGTCGGTCCTTGCCTTCTTCTCGGTCTCGGCGTAGGCCAGGTCGTCCTCGTCCTCCAGCATCTGCATCTTCAGCATCTTGCTGATCATGTCCACGCCTGGACCCGGCGGAGGCACGGGGCGGCGGGGAGGGCGGGGAGCAGAGGAGAAAGGACGTGAGCGGACGGGCCATGTCATGCATCCCTGCATGGTTCCACGTGGGGACACCAGGCCAGAGAGTAAAGTGGCACATACAGAGGAAGACGATGCCAGATCGAGTCGGCTGGACTGAGCCAGCAGCCTGAGTGCAAGACAAGACTGGGCTGCTCAGAGACTCCGGATTCGCATGCCTGGGCGCTCCTAGAGGGCTGGGCTCTTGGGCAGGCGAGGCTCCAGCAGGGGAGGCCACCGCGCCGTGGTCCTGGGCTGCCGGCGCCCCCGCGCCCACTGCTCTGCCTCAAACACTGACCCCTGCTTCGCGTCATCCTGTCCCTCATCTGGTCCAGGAGAGCTGGAAGTCCAGTCCCCGAACCACATTGGAGGCTGGAGCAGAGAGGACAGGCCCGTCCGGCTCAAATGTCAGGACCTCCTGAGGGGGACAGCCATCAGCCCAGGCCTTCAGGGATGCTCTAAGGGGGGACGTGATGTGACGTCTGGGGGCTCGTTAATACCGAGCGGCCCTATCCAGGCATCCAGCTGGTGTTAGGACAGAGGGAGGGAGAAGTCCTACACACCATTCCCATGTCATGGGGCTGAAGCAGGTGCCACCAGTGTTAAAACACTGTATGACCTCAGTATAGGCTTTTGGACAAGGGTGTACTTCCCACCCAGCCCTGGACCCAC